CTCAAACATTCTGACTTAACTGTTCAGTAGGTACACAACTAGATGAACAGAACCTCACCAAGTTTGGGAACTCTTTAAACTGGAAACTCTTTAAAATCATTCTGTATTTTCTTCAGAGCTATTACAATTTAAGGGCATAGCTATGTTTTAAGGGTCAAGCCCTCTTGAATAAAAGGAACGAGAGATGCTTGCTTCAAGAACAGGCCTTCCTCACACTTATTTCCACGCACCACTTTGGGTCAGTCAGCAGATACACTTGAAAAGCCACGTATTCAGAAAGACAGAATGGTCTTATGAATTATTTCGATGCACTCTCTGATTTCATCCTCCTTAATGATAAGGGGTGGTGCCAGCCGGATGATATCACCATGAGTAGGTTTGGCAAGAAGTCCGTTATCACGAAGCCTCAAACACACCTTCCAGGCATCGTAGTCTACAATTGAAGGAAAAAAAAGAAAGAGAATACACTTTAACTACAGAGCAAAAAGCAGCACAGCTGCAGCACGTGGTATGTGGGGCCAGACTGTAAGCTGCCTGCCATCTGGCAGTGAGAAGATTAAGTGTTCGCAAATGAAGCAGTCCCTTCTGAGCCATCCCCTACAATTTGCAGTGAATGTGCAAGACTGCTGCAGAACTGCAGTTAGGCTGAAGGGACTCAAGTTTGTTTTCAGTACACTGAGTTTTGCTCATTCACAGCTGAGTGCTTGTCTTGTAGCAATAAATTTAAAACAGGGAACCATGTGAAACCTTAGATTTATGCCTGGATTTCAGTGCATCATGTGCGTGTCTTCCACAACAGCTCCCTGCAGCACTTTGTCACTTAGTATATATTCAGGACAAATACAATTGTCTGCTCTGGCTCCTAAGAAGTTTTCTGATACAACTCAAGGTGTTAATTCCTAGAAACCTGTTCTCAGTCACCAGCTTTTTCCTTCTTTGTACTCTCCTGGATTCATTGTACTCTTCCAGCTATCCTGCAACCAACCAACCTCAGCCAATTCTTCCATAATCTGACAGAAACTAGTGCTCCAGATGTGGCCACTTTTATTCTGATGAGGAGACAAAAGGGAATTTGTTGGGAGCAAGATTCACCATCCATCAGGTTTGAATATTGTCAAATTGTAAAAGAATTTGATTCATTAAAAAAAATAATTGTTCAGACTTACTTGGTAAAAACCCCCTAATTTTAATATCACACAGTCACTTGACTACATTTTCAGTAGGTACTACAGTACTATAGCCAAGATCTGAACCCAGACACGATGCCTATAAACCATCCCCCTACTCCATTAAGATACTTTCAATTAAAGGTGAAAAACATTTGTTCATGCTGTGATTGTGCAGTTGATTTATTTCCTTACCTTTGGTTTCCCGAATTACAATTGCATTTAATAGTCCTCTTCCTCGTACACAAGTTACAATATCAGATGGTGTCTTCATGAGCTCGTTTCTCAGTATGTTACCCATTATTTCTGCATTTTTAGCCAGGTTTTCCTCTTCAATTACCTAAAGGGAAGTCAGATCCCCAATCAACTGCAGGGCACTGCATTTGTTTTATGTACCATGCTGCAATGGCTGACTAATGACATTACCACTGCTGAGATACAAAAGCTGCTGCATTCAAAGTATCACTGCAAAGGCTGCATATCCAAGCAGATTAGTATTAAGCCTTTACTCATTCATGTTTACAAGAGACAATAATCTCTCTGAAATTCTATTCTAAATTAACTGCTTTTCATTTGCTGTTATTTACAAGTAAATGGTAAGTCTCTGAAGACTCTTAATCTGTCCAGGTCCACAGACTGGGTAATAATGAGGCTTTCGGAGTGACTTGCATTACATGTAGTCAATTATGCAGTCACAGGCTAATTAAAATATGGACTCTGTATAAGGTATTTTGCTAGCTTCTGTTTGAGCTCCAGTAGCACATACATTACCAATGTCACAGAGCAGCAGCCTCTGCAATCTGCTATAGCAAAATAAGCCAATTTAAAATGTCTCTGTGAAATTAGTGAAACTATTTTACTGAAATTACGTAAGTGCCTTGAAATCTCCCTTAGATAAATATTGTCATTTAAGACATCAAGACCATAGAAACATAGAAATTAGGACATATTCCCAGTAAAGACTTCAGACTTTGTTTTGTGATCAGTGCAAACAGTAAACCACCACCAATTTTCCATCCTTATTTAAAGCTAGATTTCTACTTGTGGCATAACAAATAATACCATTTATTTAAGCAAAGATTATGTCAGTGTGACACTCTTTCTTTTGGAACCCAAATCTCTATTTCAACACACAAACCTCCAGTGCTGCAATTGCAACACGGCAAGCTAAGGGATTTCCTCCATATGTAGATCCATGTTCACCAGGTTTAATGGTCAGCATAACTTCATCATCACATAGTACTGCTGAGACCTAGAATGGGAAGGTCAGCCAATGATTTACATATATATTCAGAACTGTAAACTTAAATATCTCTGAAGCAAACTTTTCCCCAGGGCTCACGAAAGGATAATTTTCAGCCTGTGGTGATAAATTACATTTACATTCCCAGCTCTGCATAGAGGAGTGTATCTGACAATCACATAAGAGCTTAATCCCTTAAATACACTTAGCTATAGTGGTGACATTAACATCTAACTACAGTTGAAGGGCATTTCTCCAAACTGATTATTATTTCAAGAGTTTCAGCTTCAAATACTCTGTGTAACAACTCTGAAATGCCTCCAATCAGCCAAAATAGTTCAAGGCATATTGTAATTTCCAGTCTAATCAGCAAAAAAAAAAATTTCAATCACTCCAAGAGGATAAAATCAGTCATGCGGGCATGCCAAGCAAATGAAAGTTGTTCAGAAATAGCTCTATAATGTATCTTTTAACACATATTAGTATTTTTTTTTCCCTTTGCAGAATTCACCTAGAAATTAATCACAGCGAGATTGTGATAAATACTCTCCCGAGAGAGTAGAACAGACTAATGAGTAATTCCAGAGTCAAAAGCTGACCACTGGGCACTTACTTCCTGACAGGGTAATGTCAAACTGAAGAAAACAGAGATTAATTTTTCAATTAGTTGACAAGGGCTAAAACACCTAAAAATCACCAGCATAAGAAAGTGGCATCTAATAACTTGCCACCCTAACAAGTTGAGTATCAACATCAGAAGTTCAGGATACTATAGAATCATAGAATAGTTAGGGTTGGAAAGGACCGTAAACTCATGTAGTTCCAACCCCCCTGCCATGGGCAGGGACACAACACACTAAACCATGTCAATATATAGACATGTCAACTATAAAGATATTTCAGCTATAAAGGTAATATATATTCCATGGTTTTCTTATGTATCTCTCACAGCTTGGACTATTTATTGGGCTCATAAATCATAGTTAATCTTGCAAACACTGATTTCCAAGTACAACAAACATCAGACTCAATTGTTCTTCCAACTAGCAGACTTTCAGTGTTAATGACTTAGGAATCATTATTCAACAACAGATACTTCGTTGTTACTCACGGGATATAAGCCACCAGAAAGGGCCTTTCCAAGAAGAACTAGATCAGGTCTCACATTTTCATGGTCAACAGCTAGCATTTTCCCTGTTCTGGCTAAACCAGTCTGTACTTCATCAGCAATAAATAGAACCTTTATAGAGACAAAAGGAGAAAAACCCATGCATAAGAGAATGACATTCACTCCCATTTCCAAACTCAGTTCAAATAATACAGCATAATTGCACATAGTAAGTCAAAGACCTTCCAGCTGCATTACTCTAAGTACATGAAGGTACTTCCTTTACCTCCTCTAAACCCCCTCTGGAGACTTACATGTTCTAAGAAATGTGAAATTGCCAACAAGTGAACATTCTGTCCTCTCTGACATCTTTAGCACATTCTGTTCTACGTAAGGCATAGTCCACATAGGGTTGGACACTGTCCAACCAGTATCTATTTGCCATATAACAAGGAGTGGGATTTCCAAAAAGTTAGGATTCATCTATCTTTACTCCTAATGCATTGTTTGTACCTTTGGAAGCTGAAGGCCATGGAAATAGACACAAACACATCTTCCCACCCTTCCAGAGGCACTGAATGCAAGTGTGTCTTCACTAGCAGAGAACAGAAATTATGGATCTAACACTATTTTCAAAACTAAACATTTCTTAGTACAATCCAGACAGGACATAATATTGAGAATAGGAGTCAGGAATGTGGTATGAAAGACAATCTGAGAAAATGCTGAAAAAAAAAAAGGACAAAATTATGACACCTCTGGTCGTCAGAGAACTTAAAAGAACATCCATAAGCATATTTTCTTCATTGTGTCATTCTGTGACCCTTTACTAACTCTTGGTAGCACTTAAGCACTCCAGCAACAAGGTCCTTTGACAGCCATAGTAGAACCACAGCAGGAA